ATGGGTTAAATGCTAAGTCATAAAGCTAGTCTCCGTAAGTTTCAAAGACCACATTTTCTGACTATAATGCAATAAAGTTAGAAATCAGTAACAAAAATATAAATAGAAAAACTTCCTATATTTGAAAATCTAAAACTGTTCTAGAAACTATATTGGGGTGCCTGGGTGGCGCAGTCGGTTAAGCGTCCGACTTCAACGAGGTCACGATCTCACGGTCCGTGAGTTCGAGCCCCGCGTCGGGCTCTGGGCTGATGGCTCAGAGCCTGGAGCCTGTTTCCGATTCTGTGTCTCCCTCTCTCTCTGCCCCTCGCCCGTTTGTGCTCTGTCTCTCTCTGTCCCAAAAATAAATAAACGTTGAAAAAAATTAAAAAAAAAAAAAAGAAACTATAAAAACCTATACTACATATCAATATGACTAAATCTCAAACAATCGAAATAAGTCACAGAAGACTATACATATAAAGAACTGCTCACTTATTTAAAAAAAACACATTCACTGGTGACAAAAGTATAATGAAAGGCAAGGGAATGATTAACATAAAATTTACTCTAGTGGTTATCTCTGGGTGGTGAGGGGACTGTGGGGGCCAGTCAGGTGGAGAGAAGATCTACTGTGGCCCTATTAATGTTTCATTTCTTGAGGTGGGACTAGAGATCTGGGTGATCATTCAAAATTTTAAAATTATACATGAGCCTTCTACACTTTTAGATGATAATAGAATTACAATAAAATTATGGAAAAAGAAATGTGGAGAGAGAAAAAAGGATTAGGTTGTAACTGTTAAAGTGGAGCTAAAAAGTCACAAGGGTGAACAAGTTGCCACCCATACCATTTCCTCTCTAGACTATCCAATGCCTCTGCCTGCCTCCTCCGTCAGTCAATAAAAGCAAAATCCACCTTGTTCTGTGACACTTTTAGGAAAGGCACATTCTCTCTCATCCAAGGTCTCCCTTACATCATTCCAAGGATTCACTCCATGGTCTTATCTCTCTTTCCTGATATAGGTTATATTCCCTAACGTGTCCACATTAAATCAATTTTGTAAACATTTGTCCTTATCTTTTTATCCTACAAAGAGTGAGATAGTATCACGAAACAGAGGGTGAGACACCGTTTTACCTGCATGTCACTTTTGGCAGCTTTCACAGCATCAAAAAGATCACTGGTTGGTGGTTCTGAGTCTCTCTGGCCATGACCACGTACCATTCGGGACCCCTTCTTTGGATGTTTGGCCACCTAGTAAGTATAAAGAGATCATGAATATCCTTAAAAAGTAGAAGTGATATTAACACTTAGTCTCATCATTGTCACACAAGTAGGCTTAAGCTGCCAATTTCACAGCAGAGTATGAGTTACTGAGATCTGAAATAACTAATTCTTATATTGTGAACTTTATTATTTTCTTCTCTTTTAAAAAAGTCCCTTAGGCCCATTTCTATTTCTTTATGCCCTTACTACCCTTTTCTCTTATCTTTTCTCTTCAAAATTTGCCCTCTTCTTATTTCTGTCCCTTAATGCTGTTTAAATTTTATCCTTTCATCAAACATATCATCTGAGGCTTTTTCTAGGTTTTCTTTTGCTGCTTCCCAGACCAAATTCAAAAGCAAAACAAAATGGACTGACTCACTGGGGTTGTCCTGAGTGGTCGTTTTGCTGCTCTCTTCTTCACACTGTGTCTCGGGCTGTCTTCAAAGTCACTGCCTTCATCAGCTGACAAAGAATCACTATCCCTATGAGGGAATGTGGTTCTCCTTAGATACAACACCCCAGTCTTTATATACAAGGGTAAATGAATTAGAATTTCTTTGTCTCTGACTGTAGCCCTTTCCCTGTGAGAAAAATATATTCACATTTTCTTAAGATGTGTTGGGGTGTCTGGCTGGCTCAGTTACTGGAGTGTGTGGCTCTGGATCTTGAGGTTGTGGGTTCAAGCCCTGTTGGGTGTAGAGATTACTTAAAAATAAAATCTTTAGCGGGCATCTGGGTAGCTCAGTCAGTTAAGTGACTGACTCTTCATTTCAGCTCAGGTCACGATCTCACAGTTGTGAGATCGAGCCCTGCATCAGGCTCCATGCTGGGTGTGGAGCCTGCTAAGATTCTCTCTCTCCCTCTCCCTCTGCCCCTCCTCTGCTCATGCACATGTGTACTTCTCTCAAAGTGAAATAAAGTCTTTTTTTAAAAAAAATAATAGATGTGTTTACTGTTACAGGGAGTAGAGACAAAAATCTTAAAAGAAAGCTTTCACTTGAAGAGAGCAGTGAAGATGAAAAATGAGAAACTGAGATGGGTGAAGGACAACCTTTTCCTAATATTCTCTCTGAATAAGAAAATCAAGCGATATTCACTTAAACAGGCAGAGGGATCACTGCTGTGGCGAAAAATCAGCATGGCCTGGTAAGTCGCATATTACTCATATATAACTTGGATATGTGCCTAGAGTTAAATTTCATCCCTTGAAAAAAGTTTGTAAGTTGTATTGACTAGAGTTAAGTTTATAACATATATATAATCTTCTCTCCAACAGTGGCACTGATAGAAATGAGTCAGAGGAAGCCAATTAAAAAATAACCAGGAGATAAATCAGATCTTGTATGAGGTTATTTTATTCCTGGAAAGATAAAAAAGATATATTATTGGGGCGCCTGGGTGGCGCAGTCGGTTAAGCGTCCGACTTCAGCCAGGTCACGATCTCGCGGTCCGTGAGTTTGAGCCCCGCGTCAGGCTCTGGGCTGATGGCTCAGAGCCTGGAGCCTGTTTCTGATTCTGTGTCTCCCTCTCTCTCTGCCCCTCCCCCGTTCATGCTCTGTCTCTCTCTGTCCCAAAAATAAATAAACGTTGAAAAAAAAATTAAAAAAAAAAAAAAGATATATTATTATAACCTTCACAAAACAAGCTGGTAAATGATAATAGAGAAGGATAGACAAACCTGTTTATAAAATCCCCAAATAAAGGATCACACACCAACCAACAAGTATATACTATTTGTCAGGAGCAAACAAAGAACTCTTCTCCCTCCCCCACCTCCCCACTCCCAATAGAGGGTTAGGGTTGAGCATACAAATATATGCAAGAAAAGTTTGGACAAATGGATGATAGATTTGGAAGTGGATATATTATTTTTGATGTCTACAACATGTACGGCAGGGGGGAGAAAAACCCAATTAGTTAGCAAAGCAGGAGAGAGTCACTGCTCTGAGAGTGCATCTCTTAATGTTTACACAGAGGGGCAGACAGAGCTGAAAGCTGCCCCCACTGTGGGAGAAGGCCAGGCAATGCAACAAGTTCTCATCGACTCCACTCACCCCTCTGCAGTCTGGTCCGAGTCCCTGTCACCACAGGGCATATTGACAGACGAACTAGAAGACGCAGACAAGACCCTCTGTCCGCCTCCCGACGCTCTCCGCAGTGGGGAGGACACACTGCTTGGGGAGGAGGAGGACCGCAGCGTAGGCATGATGGTCGAGCTGCGGAAGTGAGGAGGAGAGGAAAGGGCCTCTAGCCCACCACGTCTCCAGCCTCAGCTCTGACCATCCCTTTCCTTTCCAAGGGAAGTGCTCTGCAACTCGGGGGTGGGGTGTGGATGCGCACAAAAAAATGACCGTCTTGACCTAAGGCATCTGGGGATTAGAGACATCACGACCGCGCGTTTGGAATCCTCTCCAAGGCCGCCACGATGCGCACACCAGAGCCGCTTAAAGCAGACCCCTCTCTGCACGCGTCGGAAACGTAGACTGCCTGGTGCAAAGGAGACCAGCTCAAGCGGTACAAATTGAAAACAAAACAAAACAAAACAAAACCAAACCCCAGTCTTTCATTTTCAGGCTGGAACCTGATTCCACATAGAATGGAATGGGAAGCACTTAACGATTTACGGATGCAGTCACCATTAGAACTGGAGCAGAAACACTGAGGGAGTAAAGGAAAACTCTCGTTCTCCACTTTTCCAGCAGATGGTATCTCTGACTGACCCTGGGGCAAGTGGGCTGAGGAGCTTCCTAATCGCTGACGGGAGTGACTGTCAGTCTCTTGGGGCCTGGGGCTTGGGGTTCCTAGCTTCTGTGGAGGAAGCCATTGAGGCTTGGGGGAGGGTGGGTTCCTCTCTCAGGGCCGGGAGTGCGGGGAGAGGGCGTATTCTTGGGTCAAAGAGGAGCCTCACTGTCTGAGCCTGGAATAGCGACGTCTGGCTGATCAGGGATGAGGAAAGATCACAGCCTTGGCTCCCTCGGGGTTCTGCGTTCTTCACCCCGCGACCAGAACAGGCGCCGGCCGCTTCTCTTCCGGTGGTGTTAGAATCCAGAAAAACGCGGGAAGGCGCGAGACACGTTGTGCGCAGACGCGAGCTCAACGGCACGTCCCAGGACTGGAAATTGTCGCGAGGCTTGGGCGTGTGCCAGCTCGTGTTCACCACGTTACAGTCACGCTGCTCCAGCAGCCTCGTGCAGCCCGAGCTTTTCGAGCTCTTTGGCGTGCCGCCCCGTCACGTGGACTCAGGCGCGCTGATCCTTGGCTTTAGCCCTGCTCCACCTCGGTCCCGCCCCCGCTGCCCCCAATTTCCCCCTCCATTGGTCCGGCTTCGCACTAGACTTCTTGTAGCCCCTTCACTCTGGCTTCTCAACTGCCATAGGCTGGGTTCCACCCAGGCCCCGCCTTTCGAATAGGATAGCCACGCCCCCAAGAAAGGCCACGCCCCTCCCCACCAGCCTCTTTAGTTCCGCCGAGTCCCGCCCCCCCCGACGAGCTTCCCCACTACATTGGCTTAACTTCTCCCTCGACCCCGCCCCTGAGGCCCGCTCCTTACCATCATTGGCGGGACCCCGCCTCGGACCCCGCCCCCTGTCCGGCTCCCAGCTCCCATTGTCTCCGCAGATGCCGCTTGGTCCAGCTATCGTGCGCGGTGTTCAGTTTTCTGAGGTCGCGCTCTTTTACTGGCCGGGGGAGCGGTCGCGCGGCAGAGAACCGGATTCCCGAGTTCGGGCTGTTCTTCTTTCCTTCTTAGGACACACTTTGCAGAACCAGGGCTGCAGCAGCTATGTTCGCTCTGCCATCTCTTCTGCTTTTGCTGCTGTCTCTGTGTCCCGGTCCTGGTCCTGGACCCGGGAGTGAGGCAAAGGTCACCCGGAGTTGCACTGAGACCCGGCAGGTGCTGGGGGCTCGGGGATATAGCTTAAGCCTACTCCCTCCCGCAGTGATCTCAGGTGAGGAGAATGAGGAAGACTAAAGAATTGGGGGCGAGGGAGGGGGCGGGGGCGGCTCCCCCCCCGCTTCACAATAACTCTTCCTTTTCAGAATGACCGTTATAATAATCTTTTCATGCCATTGTCATGCCAATAATGTCTCTTCTCCTGGACTTACTTACTAGGATCACAGTTACCCTCTTGTTCACATAATAGCTTTCTTACTCCACCCTCACACTAGGAATACCTTTCTAATACTTGGCGGCCCCCCCCCCCCCCGTGTTTGTTTCTTCACATCTCAATTTGTTCCCTTCGGTGTTTCTAAGAGCCCCTTCTATGATAATACTTTCTTGCTTACCTAGTAACCCCACCCCTCCAAATCCCATTCTTCCATCGATGCTGTCCCTGTAGGTCCTTAGAGGCCTGAAGTGTGCAGTGTTGGGGAGGGTCACCTGAGGACACTCTGATCATTCATTTCGCCCATCACTATTTGATCCCATGACTAATGGCAGTCGACTTGGGATGGGTGATGGGACAATAAGGAGGGGATAGGTGGGATTGAGGGATAGACAATAGAAAACAGACCAGACAAGTAGAAGAGAAAGGAAAATCTCCCAGACAGAGGAAGAAGGAAGGAATTTCTTGCTAGCACTCTCCCCCACCCCATTCTTCTATGTCTCCTCTGTCCAGGTGAGCACCTTCGGATCTGTCCCCAGGAGTACACCTGCTGTTCCAGTGAGATAGAGCAGAGGCTGACTTGGGAGACTGAGGCCACCTTCAGAGGCCTGGTGGAGGAGAGCGGCTCATTCCTGGTTCACACACTGGCTGCCCGGCACAGAAAATTTGATGGTGAGGAATTGGTGGTCCCCACACCTGGCCTCACCCCTCCTCTCTGTGCTCATGACCCCAGCAAACATCATGTCTTCACTCCCTAATTCATCCCTAAGGCATCCGAACCCTGGCTTAGCCTCTCTTCAGCCTCCTCTCCAGGATCTGTCCCCTACCCCTTTCCCAGCCTGCCCAGGTCTCTTGAGAGTTCCTGAGACTCTAACGCACTCATCTTTTTTCTTCCAATCCCCATCTCTTCCTGCCTCTGCCCTTCCAATTTTCCATCCTTCTCTGGCCTCACCCCAACTCACACCCCTTTCTCTGCATTTGCCACAGAGGTTTTTCGGGAGATGCTCTCGTCATCTGAGCACTCTCTGGCCCTGCTCTTCCACCGCTCCTACGGCCACCTGTATTCCCAGCACGCCCCTGTATTCACTGGCTTGTTCTCTCGGCTGCGGGACTACTATGAGAGGTCCGGTGAGGGGTTAGAGGACGCTTTGGTGGATTTCTGGGCACAGCTCCTGGAGAAAATGTTCCCCCTGCTGCATCCACACTACATCTTCTCCCCCGACTACCTGTTTTGCCTCACTCGCCTCGCCTCCTCTCCTGATGACTCTCTGAAGCCTTTTGGGGAGGCACCCCGCCGCCTCCGCCTGCAGGTGAGAGGCCCCGAGGCTTGAGCTTCAGCTACCTCTGACCTGGTGACCTCTGAGCTGTGCACCACTCACCTCTGGCCCAGTGACCACCCCCCTCATGCTCCAGTCACCCCTGACCTGGTGATCTCCTCATCCTGCATGGCAGACGTCTCTGACCTGGTGACCCCTAGCTTGAGCCCCAGTCCCCTCTGCCTGACCCAATGCTCTCTGGTCTCCTTTGACTGGGTATTCCCTCACTCTCATCCGGTGCCCTAATTTCACACAAATCCCTGACCCTTTCACCTGCTCTTGGCCCCTAGCCACCTTTCTGCCAACTGCTCCCCAGTCCTAATATCTTGACTTTCTCTGGTTCAACTAAACATGAATTAGGCACTTAATAGTTGAGACAGACTTTCATCTGTAGTATCTCATTTAATTGTCATAACCCTTGGAGGTAGAAAGTATTATCCCTATTTTATGGGTAAGAAAACTGAGCCTCCCAGAAGTTAAGGTCTCAGAGCCAGTGGTAGAGCTGTGTCTCATACCCAGATCTTCTGGCTTTCAGTTTATTGTTTGCTCTGATACATCGTTTCTCTATTTCCAAGCCCTGTAAAACACGATCTCTCTGTCTTTTCCTAAGACCAGTTCCCCTTTATCCTTCTAGACTGCAATTCCTTTGAACCTGCTTCCCTGTACCACCTGACACTCCTAACTACCCCAACGTAACTCCACAAACCTGGCCCCCCAGTGCTTGTGCCCTTGGTTCAGTCTCTTGGTCCCTGTCTTGCCTGAATCATGACTGACCCTGTGGTTTCTCTCACCTTCTTTCCCCTACCCCAGATAACCCGGGCCCTGGTGGCTGCCCGGGCCTTTATCCAGGGCCTGGAAACCGGAAGAGATGTGGTCAGCGAAACACTTAAGGTTAGAGGGGACCTGAATGTGGGCAGGGCCTAGAGAGGGAGAGGCAGAAGTAAGAGAAGCCCTATGAGAAAGAGTCAAGTGACAGCTTGACTGGAGAGGTATGGGGCCTTCCCATATCAGCCCCAAGGCCCTGGGATCCAGGGTAAATCAGGAGGGGGGGGGGAGGCCAGAGTGAAGTCTCCCTTGTGTCATGATCCATGATCTCCTTCCATTCTCTGACTCTCTTCTGCTCTCTGATGACTTCCCCCACCCCACCCCTGCCAGCCTCTGGTGGTCTGTTTATCTCCATAGCAGCCTGAGATTGAAGTAGTGCCTCTACCACTCCCCCCCGCCCAGTGTCTCCCCATTCCCCTGCTACTGAAGGCCAGATTCCTGCCTTGGCCTTTAAAGCCCTCTCTTCACCACCCATTCTCTCCCTGACCTCCCAGCCTTACCTCCTGCATCCCCAGTCTCCTCTCTTCCCAGCCACAATGTGCTCACTCTTCTCTTTGAACCTTTTCTCAGACCCCTCTTCCCACTGTGTCTCTAATTCCATACCCTTCAAGAAGCGGTATCTATAGCCTGGGCCCCTAGGAACCTCTCTCATCAGATCTTTGGCAGTTTTGAGGTCTTACCTGCTGCCACATGGGGTCAGCAACCCTAGACATTCACATCTAGCTCTCCAAGAGAGCCTAGGGAAGGTGGGGTGGAGTATGTATTTGATTTCGCTCTGTCCAACACCAAACTTGTGTAAGTGCAGCTACTGTGTTTGTGAATGACATAGTCCTGCTGTCTGCCCTCAGATGCCGTTGTCCGAAGGCTGTAGGCAGGCTGTGATGCGTCTGACCGGCTGTCCTCTTTGTCGGGGTGTCCCCTCGCTGCCACCCTGCCGGGGCTTCTGCCTCAACGTGGCCCATGGCTGTCTCAGCAGCCAGGGACTGGATCCTGACTGGGGGGCCTATCTGGGTGAGGGGATTCAGGAGGGTCTGGGAGGGCTGTTTGTGTTCTGGATGCTTTCCGGGTGGACTGGGGAGGGAGTTTTAAACCCTATTGAGTGAAGAAACTTTCATGTAAGTTTGCCCTCTCCAACACCTTGCTGCTTCCCTCCAAGACCCAGGTCGGGAGGATTTGTGGGGACATCTAGTCCCTCATAGCACCCTTTCTCTGTCTTCCCCTCCTTCAAGATGGTCTCCTGTTCCTGGCCGAGAAGCTCCAGGGCCCTTTTTCTTTTGAACTGGCAGCCCAGTCCATTGGGGTGAAGATCTCAGAGGGTTTGGTGTATCTGCAGGAAAACAGTGCAGTGGTGTCAGCCCAGGTACAGGGGCTGTGAGAAAGGTGGGAGTGTCAAACTGAGGACAGGGGGAAGACAGTGTGGGTGTGTCAGCTAGAACACAGGAGGTGAGGGCCTGGAGTGGGGGGACAGTGTGGGGTATCAGGGATACTGGGGGTGTTGGGAGTGGGGACACTGTGTGGCTTTCACCGCAGGATGACTGGGAGGGGGTCTCTTCCCTGGGTGGTAGGTGTTTCGGGAATGCGGGAATCCCCAAAGGGCACCGTCCCGCGCCCGCCGAGCCCCAGCCCCCCGGGAGGAGGTGAGCCGCCTCTGGACCCCGGCGGCGGCGGGGGCGGCGGGGACGGAGGAGGAGAGGCCCACGACGGCCGCAGGCACCAGCCTGAACCGCCTGGTGAGTGGGGCGCGGGGGAGGGGCGGGGCAGCCAGGCTGGGTGGGTAGTGGGGGGCGTGCGCTCCAGCCCAGCCTCTCTCTCTGCTGGCCCAGGTGTGGGAACTCCGCGATCGGCTGGGCCGGGTGAGGGGCTTCTGGGCCGGGCTGGCCCTGACGGTGTGCGCGAACCCCCGCATGGCGGCGGACATCTCGCAGGAGGCGGCGCCCTGCTGGACAGGAGCTGGGCGGGGCCGGTGAGACCGGGCGGCAGCTGGCGGGTGGGACGCGACTCCGGGGCGGGGCGGGCTTGGTGGGAGCCTGGGAGCCTTCGGGGCTGCTCTGCCGGCAGGTATTTGTCGCCTGTGGTCGCAAGTTCCCTGGAGCAGCTCGAAAACCCAGAGCTGGACCGTGAATCCTTGAGATCTGACGTCCAGACACGCAGGCGGCGGCTGCAGCTCCGGTTAGCCACGACCAGGATGAGGGCGGCCGCCCTGGGACGTGACATGGAACTGGAGGACTGGGGTGAGAGCCCCGGGTTCCCCGAGAGCCTCTCGAAGCTCCACTATCAGCGCTCGGGTCTGGGCCCGCCCACTGCTTTCTGAACCCCTCCTCCTCCCCCCCCACCCCCCCCCACCCCCGTCTCTACTCAGTTACTCATTCTCTCACTCCTTTGAACACGCGTGTACTGAACGCTTACCTCAAAGGTGAGGGGTTAGAAGACTGATGACAGGCTCTCCATCCTTAAGTTCACGGTCCAGTGGGGAGACACCAAAGCATTCCTGCAGAATATCGGGAAACCTCTTAGAGGAAGCAAAAGGCTGTGGATCGTTGGGGAGGGCAGGGAAGCCAGGTGGGAAGCCATTGAGCAGACTCCCAAGGTAGAGTTTGCCAGAGAAGCAACGCACGGACAGACGTTCATTTTTTTCTCTACTACTGTTTGTCTCTGTCTTTCATCTTCTCTCTTCCAACACCCGTCTTTCTGTCTGCCAGCTGCTTCTGTGCGTGTCTATTCTGTCTTTTCTGTTTATCTTCTCTCCATCTCTCTGTTCTGTGTCTGTCTCATTGTCTCTCATTTCCAAGTCTGTCTGATCTCTCTCCTTGCCTTCCTGTCACTAACTTTCTCTCACCTCCCAACTTCCATCTATCTGTGTCTCTCTCTTCCCTGTCTCTCCTTTCTGTGTGTGTGTGTGTGTGTGTGTGTGTGTGTGTGTGTGTGTGGGTTTTTTTTTTTTGGTTTTTTTTTTTGGTAATGTTTATTGGTTTTTGAAAGACAGACAGAGCATGAGCAGGGGAGGGGCAAAGAGAGAGGGAGACACAGAATCTGAAGGAGAGTCCAGGCTCTAAGCTGTCAGTGCAGAGCCCCATGCAGGGCTTGAACTCATGAACTGCAAGATCATGACCTGAACCAAAGTCAGATGCCTAACTGACTAAGCCACCCAGGCACCCCTTTTCTTTTTTTTAATCTCAAATTCTCTTCCTCCCCGTTTACATGTCTCTCTCTCTCCTCTGTCTCCCATTATGTCTTTTCCAACCCTGTTTCTGATCCTCTCCCTCCTGCAGATGAGGAGGAGGAGGACGCCAGCGGTTCTGGAGAGGGACAGCACTATGCAGATGACTGGATGGCTGGGGCAGCAGCTGTGGCCCCCCCAGCCCGGCTGCCTCGCCCTCCTCGAAGGGACACTTCTGGGGGCAAAGGAGGAGGTGTCCTTGTCCGCCACAACCAGGGCAGGAGCAGGACTGGGGGGACATCTGTTGGTTTTCACACCCAACCCATCCTCATTCTCTTCCTCTCAGCCCTGGCCCTGCTTGGACCAAGATAACAGGGGAAGGGTGCCCTAGCATCAGAAGGGTTCATGGCCCTTCCCCTCCTCCCCCTCTCCCTCAGCTGGGTCTGGGAAGGAGTCGAAGGGGGATGCAGAGAGGTAGAGAAAGGGACTTTTTGGGTGAGTGGCTGGGGCCCCAAATCCAGGAGATTACCATTGGTGGGTTGGGGGTGGGTGGGTGTTCATAATATTTATTTTTTCATTTACAATCTGGGGAGGAGGGGCTGGGGGTATTTATTTAGGAAGAAGGTGTGTGCTTTCCAAGCACACCTCTATGTTGGGCAAGTTGTCAGCCCCAACAAAGAAAAGGGGAGGAGTTTTAGAGTTGCAGTTGGGGGTGGGGTTTGAAGGAAGTTGGAAGTGGGGGGGGGGCACTCTGTCTCAAAGGGACCAAGCTGGGTGCTGGTGGGGTGCAGGGCAGGGGACTGGGGTGTGTGAATAGGATGTCAGGATCTGTGGGCCTGGTTTCTATGGAGTTTTCTCAGTTATCAATTTCTTAAACTACAATACCAAAAATTTTTTGAAAAAGGGCTGTTCTCATGACCTCTGCCATCCACATCCTTCACAAGCTTCACCATTTCATGTTTCAGTGTTTGATTCAGTGTTTATTCTGCAAATAAACAGCTAATTTATTGGACCCTGTGTTTGCCTTGTACTTCTAACATCCCTCCCTGAGCCCAGGCTCCTGGCAGAGGCTTCTGGCCTCTCTTGGAACCTGCCCCCTGTCATTCACTTTGGGCAAGTTGTCTACCCTCTGGGTCTGGGCACCTTCATCTGTAAAATGGGGAGAATTGTAGGGACTGGCAAAATTCTTTCTGAACGGGAGGCATCATTAATATCACAAGACTGCCCCTTGCCTTCAGGGTGGGGGCCCCTATTCTCTGTGTCAGCCTGGGGCTACCTTGTCATGTCCTTGACAATGTCTGCTTTCAACTCGTCTGTTATTTTCTTTTTCTTTCTTTCTTTCTGTTGCCTGAATGAGTCTTTTGTTCTGAAGAAAGCAAAAAGGAAAAGGTAGAATTGATTCCTAAGCGTGAAAGGAGGGTAGAAGTGCTGTCTTCCAAGGGCGGGCTGGGTGCCCTGACGGAGAAGGAAAGATGCCGTGAGAGAGAGAGAGCCAGAGACACAATTAAAGACCGAGCAGCTGCAGGGACTGGCGGGACAAAGGGAGGGAGGGGGAGGAGCCTGGGCGCAGAGCAAGTTTGTGGGGAAAGTTGAGCACAGCGAGGAGCCGGGCGGTGGCTGGGGCGTGCGGGAGGGCCAGACCCCGATCTCCCTGCTGGTCTTCAGGTGGCCTGGTGAGTGGGCAAGTGAAGTCGAGGCCGCAGCCAGTGGAGGGACTCTCGAATTTATGGGGGGAGACCTGGGGGGGTCACAGAGAGAACCTCGGAGGGGGCCAACAAAGGGCTGGCGACTGACTGAGCGGTCACCAAAGCTGGAGGGGACACAGGGCTGAAATGGGGGTAATGGGAGGAGACAGAGATGGATGGAAGGAACAGAAGAAATCAGGACACTGGAGGGAGTCCGGTGCGGTGCTGGATCCTGGGGGCTGTGTTGGGGGAGGGAATTAGGGGGTGATGCCAGAGGGGGCGGGTCTCTAGGTAGCAAGTGTGGGTTCTCCTTACCTGGGGTCACTCCTAGCTTGTCCCAGAAAGGGGTTGTCGGGAAGGGCTGTGGCCCTTGGTTGTGGCTGTAATCTGAAGGGGTGGGTCCAGACTCCCAGTTGATTAGGAAGCTGGGGCCTTCGGGGAGGAACTCAGAAGCTCGATGTTTGTATCTTTCAGTATCCTTATGTCGCAGAGTTTTTTTGTCTCTCTTTCCAGCTCCACCCTCTCCATCTTCTCTAGGTGCAGAGGGGATTGGAAAGCGGGCACAGGGGTGTTGGGGGGGTCCGGGGATCTGAGCTTCATAAGTCACCCGTCTCCTCCAGCTTTTCATACACTGGGGTCTGCCTTATGCTGAGAACGTTTCAGAAGAGAAAAGAAATGCCCGAGTTTTAACTCCTACTCGTGACAAAGTTGCTCCTATAGTTTGACCTCCCTGGGTTCAGCACCCTGTACCTGTCTGACCCTCATTCCCTCCTTATGGCTGCCTTCTTGGCCTCAGAATGGGGCTCTTCATCCCCATCTGTCACAGGCAGAGGAACTCACGAGGAAGCCGGGCGTCCGGCCGATGTCCATCTCACTGTCACATGAGCAGATTGGTCTTTCTCCCCTCCCCTCTGGATCCCTGAGGCTCAGGGAGAACTGCAGGTGGGGGTGTGGGGAAACTGGAGACTGATGGCAGAGGAGTACTTGTGGGCCACCTGGGAGATCTGGGTGTAGAGAGCACATGCCCCTCCCCGCAGGCTCCCACTCCTGGTATGAGCTGTAGCAGCAGGAGAGAAGGCTTTACCCTCTCCTTAGACTCCCCTCCTTTCCCCCTCATTTCCCTTCTAGACGCTGACAGAGGCAAAAATCTGCTAACTCAGGGGGCAGACTCAACCAGGGCTGCGAGCAGGCCTGGGGAATGACCCCCCGATCTCCAACCAGCGCCTTCCACGGCTGCACGGCTGTCTCAAGCTGTCTCTGCCTCTGTGCCTGGCCCTTGCCCTGTCCCTCGATAGCATCACCCTTACCTGCCACATGGGCCCTCTGTCTCCTACCAGGACCATGCGCCTCTGGGGGCCTCGGAGCCTGGGGTTGGCTCTGGGAGTCTTCATGACCATCGGATTTGCCCTCCAGCTCTGGGGGGGCCCCTTCCAGAAGAGGTGAGTTCCCATCTTGTCCCAATGCCTGATAGATGTCACCTATTTGCTCCTCCCCATGCCACCTAGGGCTGTGACTCTTGGTGGCTCAGAGAAGGTTCCATGTCCTCTGTCTTTGCTCCACAAGATGCCCACTCACCTGCTGGTGAGGGACAGGAAAATTCCCCTCCCATCTCTCCCCAGGCTACCAGGCCTGCAACTCCGACAGCCCTTGGCCCCATCCCTGGGATCAGCTGTTTCATCCTGCCCACCCCGGCAGCGACTTGTGTTCCTGAAGACGCACAAATCTGGGAGCAGCTCTGTGCTGAACCTGCTTCATCGCTACGGGGACCGACACGGGCTGCGCTTTGCCCTCCCTGCCCGCTACCAGTTCGGCTACCCAAGGCTTTTCCAGGCCTCTCGGGTCAAAGGCTACCGCCCTCAGGGTGGAGGCACCAAGTCCCCCTTCCACATCCTCTGTCATCACATGAGGTTCAACCTGAAAGAGGTGAGGGGCATAGAAGGGGGTGGGTGGGACTGGAGAGAGATGGTCTCAGGCCTGTGGTCAAGACCACCAGGGGAGGAGGCCCCAGGCAAAAGTTGGTCCTCACCCAAAAGTTGGGCATGGGGGTCACAGTGATTCCTATTCCCCTCTCCTCAGCTGTCTCTTGCCTAGTAGTTTCTGGTAGCCAAAGTCCTGCTTTCTCACACCTGGAGCTTTCTGGTCTCTTTCCTTGGCCAGTTTACCCCACTGGTATCAGTGCCCTGACAACCCTGACCCCCTAGACTCTCCCTCCAGGGGCTTCTTGCTCTTCTTGGCCCTTTCTATTAACACTACCAGGGCCCCTGCTCAGCCACTGCCTTCTGACTACCTTCCTCTGCCAGATATTGAGAATCAGCTCCATGCCAAGCCCTAGCCCGGTCCTGACCCCCTCTCCCCAGTTCTAAAGGGGAAGGTACGTGCGTGCACTCACGAGCTCATCCATACATACACAGGAACCCGAGAGCTCTCAGACACACAAAACCAATGTGCAAATGACAACATACAGGGAAGGAACTTTTACCGAATACTTACTGAGTGCTGGATTCTTACCTCACCATCACCTCGCCAGAAAGGCATTATAAGTGTCCCCATTACACAGATGAAGAGGACAAGTTTCAGAGAGCCTAAGTGACTGGCCCCCTTCATAGAAAGCAGCAGAGCTAGGATCTGAACTTGGGCACGTCTGCTCCAAAGTCAAAGCGCCTTCCCTGGCCTGTGTGCATGCATATGTGTGTTTGTATTTGGAACTATGGGGAGAAGATTCAGCAAAAGAGGTGGAGCTTTCTGTTGAAGTGAGTTTTAAGGAAAGGTTTGACAGAACTTTGTAGTAAGAATATCAGGTATTTAAAAAAAATTTTTTTTTAAGTTTATTCATTTTTGAGAGAGAGAGAGAGAGACAGAGTGTGAGCAGGGGAGGGGCGGAGAGAGAGAGAGGGAGACACAGAACCCAAAGCAGGCTCCAGGCTCTGAGCTTTCAGAACAGAACCCAACGCAGGGCTCAAACTCATGAACTGCGAAATCATAACGTGAGCCAAAGTCGGACGCTTAACTGACTGAGCCACCCAGGTGCCCCTTAAATATCAGGTATTTTAGAGGAAGCAGAACCAGCAAAGCTGTGGTGGTGGTGGTGGTGGCACGTGTGTAACAGGGGAAATGTGTGTAGGTGGCAGAACCCCAGATGCTCCCATGAAGCCAGAGCTGGAGAAAGCAGCTGAGGAGTATGTGTGGGACCTGAAAGGCAGTGGGGGGGGGGGTCACTGCTGGGAGTGACATGATGACAATGAGCTTTCAGGCAGGCTTCTCTGGTTTTTGACCTTCATTGTCATTACCATTCATTGAGTACCATGCGCTCCCACATTCAAGGTAAGCGTTAACCCAGATTTGAGATGCAGGAATGATGGCTCTGAGAAGCTCAATAACCTGCCTAAAGTTACACAACTGGTAAATGGCTGAATTGGGATTTATTCCAGGTTCACCTGATGCCACAGACTGTTCTTTGCACTGCTCTCCTCTGCCTTCAAAGAGACACTCAGTTCACAGGCGGTGCTCTGTGGGCATGCCCACATTAGCAGAGCAGATTGGAGGTTGTTGTGAGGGGTGTTAGGTTCAGTGATAAGCCGTATTCAGAGGCAGAAACCCTTCAGGGAGCCCAGGAGCTGGGTTCTGATGTGTATGTGCCTGTAGGACCATGCTAGGGAGTGGCTCAGCCCAAGTCTCACCTCCCTTCTTGCTGAGAAGTTGAGTCACATGTCCCAGGCTTCAGGGTAGCAGCCTACCAAGTGTCCATAGCTCCCCAGTGCCCAGTCCAGGGGTGTCCTTTACTTTCCTAGATGCCTAGGAGCCCCAGAAATACCCTGTCTTTCGGCCATCCTGGGGTTGGCCTGCCCACCTGATGCCTATACTTGAGACAGCATTATGGTTGGCCCCTGTCCTCCCTTTTTGCTGCCAGTGACCCACTGGTACTCTGGGAAGAGGCCTGAGGCCAGTTCCTTTCTTGGAACTGTGACCAAGAGTCCCAGGGTAGGCACTTAATAGGTTTTTGTTGGAGAAGTGAACACGAAGTTTGAT